ATGCCTGTTCTGAAACACTTAAAGAGTTTCGTTGATGAAAGAGATTTGATCTTCTCCAAAACCTCAGATTGTCCCATATTGGGTTGTTGAAATTATAGAATTAACCATGTGGAATTTGAGGACTGAAATGAACACTGTTGTGTGTCTCAGAATGCAGGTCAATGGTTACAGCCATCCTGACAAACTGCATAATAGAGAGATATATATGACACCATGCTCAGTTTCTAATCCTGCTACTTCTGTTTGCAATTGAGGATTCCTTCCAGAATACAACAGCAGCAACAGACTAGTGCAATGGACTATTACATAAGTTGAGGTTGACTAAACTTCATTCTTCATTATCCACCCTGCTGGCTTCATAGTTTTATCTCACTGACTGATTGGGCAATGCACAGGCAGTCTTCAAGAATGAAAAGAGAGGAAAAGATGATCTATCTTGCACCATTTTTAGAGCCACAGACATTGAAGTAAATAATATTCTGTAGTACAGTGCATCCCATTTAAGAAATGCTTTGGGAAGTAGAAGGTAGAGAGGTAGGTAGTTGAAGACAACCTGATTCTCCATCCCACTGCACATTATACTCTAACATCAATGGAAGCACACAAGTATAGAACAAAATGAGAGTGAATAAGTAAATCCAGTTTGTGATCTTAGCTCTGAACAGATTTTACTGCCATATGCTGCTGCCAACACTTTAAAAGCTTTGCACCATATATTTGTTGGTAGCATGAAAAAACACCTTCTATGTGTATTTCCATTACTTTTTTCCCTAAGCCAATTTAGCCTGAAACATCTCTCCTTCATGCATAGAGCGTTATGTAATAGTAGACAATATTTTGACACTTTCTAGAGGATTATAAGAGCTTTCAAATCTTTTTAAGATTCAAGTCTGCAATTAGCCTTTTCGTTCTATCACCATCTGTTATCTTTTGCTATATTCAAAGTGAAGCAGATGATGACTACCTAATACTTGTAGGAGATGAAAATGAATAAAGGAGGAAGAGACCTCAGGAACTTCTAGAATACACATCTGAGAAGAATAAGCAACACATGTTGAAAGTAACACTAACATGAAGGGCATTTCTGGCTAAATAAGGCTTGTGTCAGTTCAATAGAATATGACTGAAAATCTTGAATTGAATAATGTCTTCATCTCATCATATTTTGAAATAGAAAAGCCTGGATTTCTTTTTTGTTGTTGTATCTAAATCAATGGGTGTTACTGCCCAAGTAGAGACTAGGAGCTCAAGTGATGTTCTATAGAAGAATCAGCTTTGAGGGAATAAATGTCCTCCATTATGTACCCTCTTATATTTGAGACAGAATAATTCCTAATAGGCTTTCCTCAATGACAACAAACAGCAACAGACATACTTCAACAGAAAAGCACTTGCTCCCTAAAGGTAGTTTTTCAGAGTGATTTAATTCCCTGCAGGAACAAAAACTTTTCTTCCAGTGTCTTTGTCTTCAGATATTCAAACGGTGCCCTCAGTTGTGGTCTGAACCAAAAGACAGAAGCTTGGTGCTGACTCTTTGAAATTACTTTATCAACATCAAGTAACAGTTCTTACAAGCTATGGATATTGCAACAATTAATCTAATTAGTCTTGTGAAAAAATATTTTAAGGAAAAAAAGGATTCTTTTTTCTGAAGTTTTATATTTAAGAAAACACATTTCCCATTCAAGAAAATTTCTCTTTTGAAATGCATTTCACATTCTTGCTTCTAGTATAATTAAATTTATTAAATTTATTAAATTTATTTAATTTAGAATTAAAATAATGTTTCCACTTAGTAGCAAAAGCAAGAAAGATCAATAAATAAAATAGCTAAATCCTATTAAGAACATGCAAATGCATTGCATGTTGTCTTACAAGACCCCATAATCTAAGCCCTTGAAAAAACTCCATTGAAGATCAGGTAACTATTCTAAAAGAAGTAAAATAGTACAGCAAATTTATTTTCAAATATATAAACATTAACCTGCAACTTTTTGATCTGATATCTATGTCTGTATCTGTATCTATCTATCTATTGGCTACTGAGTTAAAAATTTTTGCAGCTGTCACTTCAAATACGAACAGGTCAGAAAAGACATTTTAAAGCAGAATCATCTATGTCACCTGGCATATTGTTCTACATTCATTTAACAGTTAAATTATTACATGGTAACTAAGTGCAGAAATTTAGTAGCCATATGATAAAGAGAGAAGAGAAATGAAAGTAAGAAAGGGTTGCTATATTGTGATATGCTCAGATATATAGTTAATGTACTTGACATTTGTTTTCATTTTTTTCATTTTTCTTTGGTGACTGTATGCTACTGTGTTGATATATTTCAAGTATTCACTTTAAAATCTTCATTATGTTTGTTCTAAGTGTTTTTACTTGGTGCAGAAATAAAATCCTAATAGGGTTATTAATTTAAGGACTCGTAATTGGATTCCACCAGCATGACAACATCTTCAGCGTGAATGTGAATATGTTCGGACTGAAAGAAACCATGAAACACACCTGTTCATGTCCATTAGATACTCCTGCACTTATATTAAACTGTACAATTTCATTTTGAATGAGTATATTGCATTACCAGGCAATACAATTTTTTTGGCATTAGCCATCATTAAGCAGTAATACTCAAGTTGGCGATGAACAGCTAATAGGTTAATATAATTTATGCTGCACAGTGCAGAATGCCAGTTAGAAAACAGTACTTCTTTTTCTGTGTAAAAAGGTATGTACTAGGCTCTTCCAAGAAGTCAGCTGATGTAGTCCTCACAGAACAGCATGATGAGCTAAAAGTTTTTGGATGCAATTTTTTTATCCAATATCATTTACAATAAAAGACAAATGACAATTCTACAAAAAAAAAAAAAAGGAAATTAATTTTTAACATATTTTTATTGAATCTGTAACTGTTTAGACAAGATAAAAGGTGACTGTTTATTATCCTGAAATTGTGTGTCACATAAATAGAAGTCAAAATTCTTGTATCCATGAGACTTCTGCCAGAAGAGATTTAATTTTTGTTTCCTCTCATGACAGAGTTCATTTAATCCAAACATATGTTTACTTTGGATACAGATATATAAAAGAACTATTTCAGTCATTTTTTTAGCATTTTGAAATGACTAATTATCTAATATTTATCTCAAATACTCATTCATGTGAATCTGAGATTTACTTTAATGATAAAGCACTGCTGTTTAAAAGATGAACAGGTTCATCACAGTATCAATTAGATAATATTCCTGCTCAGTAAAATCGAAGTGGAAATATGACTACATAATATCAGTGAACTCCATTTACTTATGACAAAATAAATGAAGGACTGTTTTCTAAATGCTTATCAACTGCTGGGCATTTCTCATAGGCCACTTAAATTGTTATAACCTACTTGTTTTGCTTGATGGATTATTCTATAGTCTATTCTATAACTATTGTGGCAATAGTTATGAAAACATTGCATTTTGAATCTAAAAAATCAAAGAAGACTTCAGGATGCTCTGAAGCTCTCTGAATACCTCAGCTTGACTTGAACGTGCCTTTAAGCACTGTCTCTGAAGGAGAGTACCCAACAGTAAGCACATCTTCAACTTATTTACTGTAGCTTATAGACTCTGTTGTAGAAAACTTCCTTTAAAAGAAACCAAAAGAGCAAAAGAAAACAACATCAAATTAGAAACTTATCTACAACTGGGAAACCTGTGGCTGATCTAGGAGCAAGGCTATTATTGTAGGGAGCCTTTTTGAGACTCAGTCAACAAAACAATCCATGCCTATGTGATAAGTCTCGTGTGATAGATAGGGTAAAGATGGAGAGCACCTGTAGACAGCAGACACTTCAGTCTCTCTCGATTGACACTCTCACCTAGTCTTTGAATTAATGTTGAGAACACAGGCTATACAGATCCCTCAGGGATGCAACAAATGAGGACTCTTTCATGGAGGATCAGGTGTCAACAGTGACAATCATTTCAGTGCAATTGCACTAGCTGTGCCATGTTTTTATGGTGAAACAGAATTTTATCATTAACCGTATCAAATACATAGGAAAATCCAGCTGGGTTAATGTTAATGCAATGCAATACAAATGCCCAGCAATGCAAAAGAGACTACATCCAACAATATCACGTTATTAATCTTATGTAGGCTACAGCATTCTCAGCCTTTCAAACAGCCATCTCAGTCAGCAAAATTTCAAAGAAAGGCATTCTTTTCTTTAAAAGAAGATACTCTGCACTTACTGAATAGCAAAATTCAGGGGACTAGAGATAATTCAGAATTTAGTGAATTTAGTTTTAGTAGATGGTAAGAGAGATGTATTCATTTTTTTATTTCAAGACCTGTCTAACCTGTTTGTTCCTGCCACAAGTAAGAAGCCATACAGATCCACAGGACTAAATATTTTGAGTCAATCACATTAAAAGCTGTCATTAACCAACAACTGCATCACTTTTGCTGATATTCTGTATCAAAATATTTGGATGAAATCGATTAATCCACAATAAAAACTGCAAATTTGACAGGGCCAATGACTTTCTGGGCTAATAATTGCTTTTCCTTGCAGATACATATATACAGGAATGTAAAAAAAAATGTAGGAAAACAAGTTGCTGTTCACAGATGATGAAACTGGAGCAGGCTACTTATTATGGGAAACAGAAACAAAAGTTAAAATATCCCCAAAAACCTTCTTGAAAGTACTGTGCTCTAAAAGGCTACCTCTTCCCTTTGAAACAAAACAAGGGATGGACAATTTCCTTTAACTGTAGAGTAAAGTCTAGACACTTCTATATACTCTCAAATAATGACCTGCAGATTACTTAGGCTTAAGTTACTAGCTCCTTAGCATTATATACTACACTATAATTTGGTACCTTCTCCCTCAAAGGTATCAGTAATAAAATTTTCCCTAGTATTATCAAATATTGATGATTTTTGAACTAAAAAATTAATATAAAAAGATGGTCATACTTTGAATAACATATAATCTTACCTGTGTATGTTATCTTGACCAGAAGGGACTACACCCAGGTTTGCTGCTTTCACTACTCTCTCAATTATTACAAGTCTAGTAGAGTTCTGTGGAGCAACAGCTATTGTAGCAGATGTCTCATTCATTCCTGTCAGCATTCCTGAAACATTAAGTATTTCAGTATGAATACACTAAGATCTGCTTTCTTATTAAGCATTAAAACAAAACAGTAGACATCTAAATTAAAAAAAAATGCATTAAAACTTAATTCATTTATAGAGAAAACAATTTTATAAAGACTCACGTAATTACCTTAGTTTAATGTCTTACTTGCAATGACCTGTTATCAGAAACAAATTAGTAATAGCTGAACAATGACATATGTGATACTAATACAACTGTGAAACCAAGGTAGTTATTTTCTCATAAAAAGCTTAATTTATAAGAAGAATGCAAATGCAGAAATTAAATATTAAGTAAGACTGATTTGGAAAGGTCCAGCTTAAGTAAGACCATATACAAAGATCTTTTATAATCTTTCAATCATACATTTAAGTATAATTCCATATCCAACTGCTAAAAATTATCTTTAAATTCAGATAGTAGTAATTGCTTCAATTTAGTTAAGATAAAGTCAGCACATTTGAAACTGGTAAATTCAGTTTCCAGGTAAATTAGTATCCAGCTCTCTAAAATATCTCTAAAATATCAACATAAACTATTTGAGTAAAATTATTTGAATATCACTACAAAATGGAACAGAAATGCAAAGATCATATCCAAACATATGATGAAGAAAATGGAAAGAAGGATATGCCATTCAAGGATATTTTAATAAAACTTGCACTTTTCTATCAATATGCATTGTTTAGAAGAATGCTTTGTTGGATGCTCATGTTGATTAAAACACAACAGTAACTACAACACTGTGTGTGCCTTTTTACAGTATGTTCAGAAGCTGAAAATGCAGACAAACAAAGGACCACGGTACTTCAGGCAGAAATATGAAGCATCTGAAGCAACACTAACAATGAAAACAATGGAAAAGTCTCAAAAGGCCAGTGTTTTAGTGCTGCACATACAGTTCTAATCCAGAGGAAACAGTAGTACCAAGATACTTAATAAGAGCAATTAAAACAATAAATCCAGTATTTTAATGTGCCAGAATGTGCTGCTATCACAAAATAAGAAATATGAAAGTAAAAATGGAACAGGTGATGAGTAAATAATAGGATATTTTTGAAGAGAAAAAAAATAAGCATGCAACTTTTATAACAATCGGATTTATCTTGGGAGTAGAACATTCTGTTTCAAATTGTTTAACTATTAGGCAAAAGCTTTACAAACTACATACACAGACTAAAACTGCTTTTAAGCAGAGCACAGGGACTGACATAACACTGCTGAGAGATGTGTGTACTTATTTAGGATTTAAACCTTCTCCATTAAGCTCTATTGAAGAGCAAATGCTGAATAAATGAATGCAACTATGTTTATGTTAAAAGCCTGTTTCCCGCAGCATGTAATTAAAGGAAATGTTGTACAAAGCCAGTACTTTTGTCAAGCTCCTGTAAATGGAAAGATGGATAGCACTCAGAGAAGTGAATGCATTGCTTCATATTTAACCTTAACACTCTTGTCATTAATGGTTTGTCTAACTTGTTCTATAAAAGACAAGGTACTGCTCCATTGAAGTAAAATTAAAAAAATCAACTAAACCATGCTTTTCAGAACAGAAGATTCATTATCGTCGACTAATGTATTGGCATAAAGCAAAGTAACATCCTATCAAGTAAGGCACACATTCAATCTGCTTTTTCACCCCCCTTTATTTTTAACTCATGCTGTTTTATTGTTATAGGCAATTTGTACCACTCAGCATGACAGTGTAAACTGAATCAAGATTAATTTACATGCAAAAGAACACTTAGGAGAGCAGCGTGGTAAGCAAATGTATTGTCTCGATTGCTGAGGTGGAAAAGAACCTGGAAATAAAAAAGGGTTCTCTAATTAAGGAGCATCAAATATGATTGCTTGGGGTAGTCAATGGCCAGAAAATAGTAAATGTCCAACCATTTAAAGAATTAGCATCTTGCTTGTTAGGAAAACAAATTTTTTATATATAATTTTAATAAAATTAGGTAAACTATCTGTTTACTTAACCAAGATTGGGTTTTGTTGTTGGTTTGTTTTTTTAAAATGTGATTCGGGTATACACTTCTAAAAAAAAAGGTGACAAAATTATTTAAAAACATGTCTCTTAAGAGAAAAAAAAATCCTAAAGTAGCTTTAATTGCCTATTTTAAAAACACCATAATAAAAATTCTGATTAATATCCAGCTATAACAACCACATGACGCATTTATTATTGCTTGAAACATGAGAATCTAAGAAAACTCTAGCCCAAGCATAAAGTAGCAATTAGTCTGGGTTAACCACCTAATATGATGAAATAACTGTACATATTTTAAATAATAGAAGAAAATTAAATTGGAAAAATTACAGTGATGGGTAACAAGGTATGCTAGCCAGCAGACTAGCTCCATTCTGAAGTGAGGGAAGGAGAGTTTTCCTACTGAATTTTAGAAACAACAGACAAGTTGAAATCTGGATACAGAGTTCCCAATAGTAAATGTTCCACTCATGCAGAATTTCTGCTAAGGCTACTCGACTTCTCACGGGAATGTGATGTAAAACAGGGTATAAAATTCTGAGGCCTGAAGGATCAGAAAAACATATTTGAGCAAAAAGGTAAAGACTGTTTGACAATATTCTTTTAATCCACTCATTCCAAATTGTCAATCACAACAACCACTAACTCAGCTGCTTCTCTGGGGAACTACTTCAACAGAGGATTCCTGAGCTCCGGGCAGAAGGAAAGGGGAGATGGTGCAGCAAAGCTAAGCATATCAAGCACAGCATGTGGACAAAAACAGCTTTTCAGGTTCTGCCACTACCACCAGATAGCCTTCACAGCCATGAATATTCAATAACCTGTCTGCCCCTCTCTCTTTATGCCATCAGGAAGAAAATGGACATATACAAACGTAACAGACAATGCAAAACAGCGGAGTATAACTGAGTAAAGATGTGTAGCAATGAATTGTCTTCTACATAGCAGTATAATACCAGCTATTTTCTCTTTAGCATTCTTATTAGGTTACACATGCAATTTAGATGTAAAAATCCTTAAAACCCATACATATTTTCATTCTCTCCCAGCGTTACCTTGCATTTCTAATATTCTCCTCATTCCTTCACTGTTTTTTCCCTATCTGTTTCGGTTGCAAATAAAACCAGGCATCTCCAGACACAGGACTTCAAACATGTTCAAAACCAACCAACCAACCAACAAAAAACAAACAAACAAACAAACAAAAAAAACCCAAAAAAAGAAAAGTAAAAAAAAAGTTACATAAATCAGATTCATTTAGAGAATGATGGAGGAAAATTTAAATTAAATACAAAATGGAATAATATATACCAACTTCTAAATTGCCCTGCATTTATTATTGTAATTTGGATTTTTCATTCAGCAAGAACACAAAGTAATTCTTCCCATATGCTACCTGTTCCTAGATCTTTGTAATAAATACTAATGCAAAATGCAGAATTGAGACCTCTGTTACCAAGAATATTCTGATACAGCCGATATCCATAAGAAAAAAGGTGCAATAGGAAAGGATTTTTAAACCTGTAGTAAATTTGCCAGCCTGCAAAGTCCTGCATCAAAGAATGAATTCAGTAAGACAGAGAGAGCGATACAGAAATGCCAAGAGACCTTCATAGATTTACAAATACTTCATATAAACAAATTTTCAAATAGCTTTATTCAGAGTAGCCTTTCTGCTCTATTAAACATAGCAAACAGCTGCCAGATTTATTCAGACAAATAATCAACAACCATAGAAGTAAAATGGCAGAAGAAAAAGGAATTTTGGCAACAACTCCACAGAGGACCACAGCTATTCTCCAAGTACACTTCTTCTATGTGCTCATGGTTCTGTATGGCCAGTCAGGAGGAAAAAAAGCCCTCAGTCACAGTAAAGCATACAAAAACTCTATCAGAATATCACAAAGCAAGCAAACATAAAAACAGGGAAGGAAGAAGCACAGTAACCTGTCTTCTTTTCACTACAAACTCAGCTACAATTTTTAGAAGGGAACAGTTTAAAATAAATGTACTACAGCCTCATTCAATCACTCACCTTGGTTTGCTGAGCAGGTATAAAGCAGAGAGGCAGGCTTTAGCCAGCAAAGGGTAAGAACAGCAAATAAGTATCAATTGGTTATGAAAACAAAGCACAATCCTAACTTTCCACTGCAGCCAAAAGCTTAACAGCAAATGATCTAGACATATTTAAACTACTTTCTTAATAATTCAAAAACACAAAAACAAGAAATGCTCAAAAGCAATAACTAATAATACATAATGTTACTCATTGGTGTTCTTGACTGCTTGATGGATATACTGAGTTTCTGAGCCTTACACAGCAATGAGACAGGATCCCATGGGCATATTCTCATCTCAAATGTGAATAGACATACACATGTAAATCCCCATACATTGAGATAGATGAGTAAACACTACTACATTTGAGTGCATCCAAAATGTAACTGCTTATATTTTAAAATATCCAAGAATCATATCTGAATTAAGGACAAGAGTATTGACTATTTCATTTAACATATGGTGAAACCTAAGCACAATTTTTTCTAATTATTTTTAATAAAATATTCAAGTCAATATAAAAGCTCTTATGGGGGTTTGTGTCTGGACTAGTATCAGATACTTACATTCTTTGAAAACAGTATTAGTAGAATGCAGAAGTATAAAAAACATGTCACCATTCTAAAACAGTATTCCAGCAAGAGTTTTTTTTTATATATTAAGTGTTTGAAAGTGAAAACATTAAAATAATCTTCAAAGTAGCTGAGGAACCGGTACATTAAGAGTATTGAAAATTAGTATTGGAATAAAGAATAGTAAAAACTGATGCAATACCAATGTGTAAACAGTTTATTTCCTTGAGCTGGCATCCCAAGTTTCTGTTTTGCTGCTTGTAGGAAAGGCATTCACACTTCATGATGGGAAGCCAAAACTGTTTGAGCCAAAAGACTGATTTATGGTAAAGGGTGGGCTTTGACCCTTTGAAGACTGCATCATATCAAGGCACATCCTTCTTAGGATATTTTTAAACTACTTATTATTGTCAGAGTGAATACTACCAGTGGGTAACTCAACCACCTACAACTGGAAGCACTTTCTGTATGCTTGGAAATTGAAAGGCATGCAGTCCTCTTCCCACACAAGTTTATTTACTGAAGCTGCTGATTTCTCACCTTGTTCCTTCTTAAAATCTTTCTCTGACATAGTGACAGGCAAGAGCAGTTCTCCAACAGGGGGTTGAATGTTAACATTGAAATGATCATCCTTTGTGCTAGGAAAGAGAAATGACAGAGGATCAACCAAGTGCTTCAATACAGATTAATATACATGTATCAGTTCCACATTTTCTGTGAAATCATTAAAAAGTGTAAAAACTACCTGTATGACTTCCACCTTATTAATTTGAAAGATGTCTAATTTCTTACAATAGTAAAGGTGATCCATTTGCTCCAGTACAAATGTGGTAGGCATAGTCTAGTATTTCTGAAAATGTAACTTTTACTCATATCAAAGTTTATTCGTGATCTACAAAGCATCACACTCAATCTAAATGCTTGCAAAGGACAAATCATTGTGCATTTCACAAATCCTTTGAGAGAACTGTTACACATCCTGTCATCAGCTACAGCTGTCCTAGAAATAGGGCTAAACATAGAAAAGATGTAATTCCAGACAAAAGGATAATATTGTCCCAAGAAAAACCCACAAATAAGCCAAACAAAAAATACAGTAGTAAAGAAAAAATATTTTCGACAACTTCAATTTTACGGTATTTGGTATATTTAAACAAAACCATACAGCATACTGGCTAATGTAAAAGCACACTGGAAAACTGCAGAACTTGAGGCCGTTTTCTTAATGGCAGAGTTAAAAAATACTACCACTAGAAACACAATACTATTACACATTCTCCTCAAGAAAAAAATATTATATTGTGAACTTCCTCTCCCCATCCATTCAATTATCAAAGTTTCCAACTATTTTGTCTAAGATTTCTTCAAGGATACAGAAACTCAAGATACATTCACTCTCCTATGTTTCATTGACTAAGTGTACCATAAGGGATTTGCCTACCAATTCAGGATCAGTACATCCTTTGTTAATGCTTTAAGGCCTGAGAAACTTTTAGAAAAGAACACTTTTTTTTTTTTCCTAATGTACCAAATAATCAATATATATTGATTGGTGATATGCCTCAGATATCTTACTTAAATATAATGATACAACCATTAGAATGGAAAATACATTTCATCCATTAACATCCATGTTATTTGAATTAACCTGAAACATGTGCTTCGGACTTTTTATGACTCTGCAACTTCCAAGTTCTGAAGCAAAATAGACAGATGGAAAGCAAACAGCACTACAGATCAATAGTATAGAAAACATGTGTCTCCCTCCTAAAGATGCAAGACAAGCCACCTGGAAACAGAAAAGCATTTTACAGTCCCTTTACTCAAAATTCTAATACTTACTGTAATTACCCATTTTCCAAAGGAAATTATTAGGAACCAGTATGTTCTTATTTTCTAGCTTCTGATGTGTTATAATTATGCCTAAGAGTGCAGTCTCAAATACGGGCTGTTCAAATAAAACCAGACATTTATGCTAAGTTTTTTGAGAACTGCTATTTAATAAACATACAGGGGAACAATCCTTTCAAACTTCCTAGCACTTCCTTTATAAAAAAGTCATTAAGTGCTGCTTTTAAAAGCTAACAAATTCAAACTTTTTTCCCCCCCTGTACATTTTTTCCCCCTGCACTATTTAAATGCCATCCTTCTCTAAAGTCATTATTATAAGGAAAGAGCAGGGATTGTTTGATTGTCTAGACTGATCAAGTGCACAGTAAAATAAGCAAGAAGTATTTTTTTCTTTAATTTTTCCTTTGAAAAGTGATTAAGAACTCAATCAGCTTAAGAGCTGATGGAAGAGTCTTTAATCAACTGCCTCATTAATTTTTTGCTGTTCATAACTACTACTTGGACTATAAGACTAACACTTCGAACAATACCTTCACTGACACTGTTCAACTAATTGTTCAAACAATGTTATGTTTCATATTTAAGCGAGATGTGCTGTACATAATTCAGCATGAAACAGATAAACCATTTCGCATACAATGATTTACGTCCTACATTGACTGAAGAGATCCCATTTGTACATAAACTTGACTTATAACATCAATTATTAGATTGCTTTAATGCTTATAACAATATTTCCACAATAAGAAGGAATGAAAGCGTGAGTACAGCTTGGGTCTTTTATGCTTGTAACTGCTCAAGAGGACCACTTGACATCTTTGCTGTTAACAAACATTCCACTTCCATTTCCTCTAGTGAATAAATAGCTAATATATATTCTTTGATAAAACATGAACTCTTCATAACCTACAAGCAGAAATTCTGATTGCTAGTTGTTCTTCAAAACCACTTTGTTCCTAATTTCACTTTAGTCAGCACCTGGGTTACTTTGCATTACTTTAATTCCAGTGTGCTTCAGTAAATTTCTTTCTCAGCTACAGAAAATCGTCCTTCCTTATAGATTCTCTTTATCAGACACTTCACAGATTAAATATACAGCTTTTGTTTATTGATCTGCATCTTTTTTATTACATCTTTATGTTAGAGAGCTCATAACATCTAATTTAACGAAAGTTACTTCATAATTCCATGGAACCACAATACAATTCAGAAGGGGTATTAGAAAGCACCTGGTTTCTACCTCCTGCTTAAGTGAGGGTCACCTTAGCTCACTTTGCTCATGGACTTGTCTGTTTGAGCTCTAAGTATCTGCAAAGATGGAGATTTCATCAGATATCTAATGGAGAAGTTTGAGAATAAAACTGAGGCTTGGAATACAACTCCTTAACTTCCACCAATACCTAGTGAACTCAGTTTCAGTGTATTTAACTAATTCATTTATATTTTCAAGACTACAGTTAATATAAATGACGCTTAAACAAAAAGTTAAGTTAATTTCTAAAAATCTGCTGGACAACTAGTTTAGCCTGCACTGAAGCATCTCTCAGGTGGTGTTGCTTTAACTTTCCTGGAAGATCAAGGCGATGAAGCTTACTGGGAAAAATACCCAAAGTTTCTCAGGCCAACAGAACATGTTTTTTGATTTCAAAAATTAAAGACTGCATTTTCTGGTATTAGCATGTGCAGTTGTTAAGCTACAGCCTTAGAGGAATGTGAATACTTAATGAGAAGTTCTTAGAGGGAAGCTCTGAAAGGATCAAACAGTTGAGGATGTCTGACAACACTACCTTGCCTACAGTAGCTTGAAAAATCTGTTATTATTTAATTGTGAACTATGGGCAAATAATATTAGAGATTTGTTACTCTTACTTCTTAAAAACTGTTAAACTGTACATACTGTATTTTTAAAAGACATCACTTTCATGATCCAATTCCAAGTATCACATGAATTTATCTTCTGATGCACACATCAAGTTGAACAAATGAGAGACAATAATGCTCCCACAGGAACAAAGGGAAACTTAGTAGCTCCACGATAAATGACACTGCAAGACTAACATTCAACCCTTCAGAAGATGCAGTTTAAAGACTTCTGTAGATGTCTGCAGATGGAGTGGGAGTAGCTAGCATCTGTCATTTGAAACCCTTGGCTATTCCTACTGTCTTCTCTCAGTTTGTTTGGTTTTCTTTTAAAGAATTGGCTCTGAAGAGTTCCTGGTGAAAAGGTTTTCTACCATAACAAAAGACTTGAGAACAATGATAGTAAAATCTTCTTCAAAACTAAAGTAAATTATACTAATACTTGTGAATGAGTTCTTTTAAAATTCCACAATAGCAGTGGTTAAAGTCTTAACCTCCAAGGTTTTTAATAAATTAATATTCTAATCAGACTAGGAATATTCTTCTTGCTCTTTATACTATCCTTTTTTATTTCACTCCCAGCAGCAGCTTGTTCAGAATATATCTACCCCAAATCAGCCTACTATTTTTGTCTTGTATTCACAAAAAACTCCACAAATACTAGAAGAAAGAACATAAGAGGAAGAGGAACACTAAGAGAATAAAGTTGCTGCAAAACAGAACACAGAATGGAGGAGCATAGGAAATTTGATTCATAGTCTTGCTGAAGAAAGGAAAGGACTGCATCCTGCTTCTACGAGACAAAAAGGCCAAACAATAGAACAAATGAAAGCAGTTGTTCATGTCCAGCCTTGTTTTTTTCCAGGTCAGTTATTTATCTGGGCATAATTGTGTTCTGGAATAGGGCCAACTGACTACTTTAGAGTAATGAAATAAAGAGAAGAGTACCAGATTGCTTGTCTTACATCTATAAGCAACTTGGTGATCTGCTGATAAAGCACTAGGGAAGGAAACAGCAAGAAAAAAGTGAAAATGCAAGTGACAGTGATGTGAAGACAATCCTGCATCTCTAACATTAGCTTTTAATATATTCCATAACATATTCCACGACATAATTTTAATCAGATGCCTTTGTGCAAGCATCTACACCTGAATGCATGCTTGCACTTAAATACTGACTGCTATCCAACAAACCCTCTTCATTTACTGTGCTTTGTAGGTAGAAGTTCTGCTTGGGAAGATTTCTACATCAACACAGAGTGAAGTAAGTGAATTTCATGCTGCAAAAAATCTCTTCCTTTGAAAATAAAATTCAGAACAAAAGCTTCTACAATAAGATGGAACCTGCAGAAACAGACTGAACAAAGTTTTTACATCTCATTCACGAAATTTACTTAATTTAAGAAATTGCTAGCTTCTTTCTGCTACATCAAACACTTTTGGAGTAATCAACAAAATGCTTTCTTTATATAGTAAGGACAGTTGAGATGAACAGAGAGCTTCCTTTTTCATCAGCATAACAACTGTATGAGAGTATGCATTCTCCTCATCAGGAGAGGGTCCTTCTGATGACACTGGGACATTAAGAAAGGCCAATATAAGGTAACCAGTTAAAAACCTCTGTCATGTCACACTATATTCCAATTACCTAGTTATTTTGAAAAATAATGAAAGGCGCGGAAGCTGTTGCTTTCATTCGATTACTCTTTCTTCTTGGGAGCTCTGATTGTGTTCTTTGCACTTAAACCTTGAGAAAACTGGGGAGAGACATGCAAAACCGAAACTAGGGAAAGAGATGCATAGCATAGACATCTCCCCTACACCAAATAGTTTCAAAGAAAGCTGAACAACTCCCTCTGTACTTTTCAAAAGAACAGAAAAAAGAAGAGAACAGCTTCTCCATAAATCAATTTTATCTTTAAAGCTGTGGTTCTTTAATGGTTTTGAGCACAACTAAGATAATTTGGTAAAAGAGGATTAAAAGAATAAGAAAGAAAAGGTAAAGACAAGCTTTCTTTTCCAGCTTCCAATGCTGTAAAAAGGACATCTCCCCTTCATTTTTAGTCACCCATCATACCTACAAGAAATTTGAGATTTGCCTATTGAGTTATAGAAACACGAACAGGAATTCATAACGCTAAATACATACATAAAAAATAGAGTAAGGGCATGTATATGCTGTAACTCTCTGTCTCTATAACCTTCTTTGTCTTTCATCTCAAGGGATTCAAGTATTTTCATTCAAAGGATACAGGGCCAAAATTCTGACATGGAAAAGCCCCCAAATCTTTGTTCAGATATCTCAAAAAACTAGTAAGCTGAGAGAAAGACTTCAGAATATCTGAAAAGTAGAGACATGCATGACAATAAAGATAACACAAGTAGTAGGATTCTTGAAATGGTGAACACTAGGTGCTCAAGGATTCAAGGAAAGACACTGATGTGGAAATCTTTAAGATCTGACATGGGAGAAAAAAAGTAGTAGTTCCACAGTCAGCGGAATATGGCAGATAGTCTGCTATATCTAGGATCCATTCCAAGCTTTTCTCTGCTCAGCTGATGCCTACCTGCTTAGCTAAGGCTTAGGTCTCTTACTCAGATGGTGAATATACTAAAATTTAACTATAATTCAACAAGTTAGCAACATACCTTGCATGTGAGTAAGCCAATAACAAATTCCTTTAAACTTCCAACCTGTGCATATCCTGCTTGCAAAATGAGAACAAAGTAACACAAAAACAAAGATCAACATTCAAAAGATCTTCTAAAAGGCCAAGTTCCTCCATTTATTCCACTTTGACTTTCTGCTTGAGAGGCATTATCATGCAGAACACCAGTGTGTCTGAAATAGCTGCCTCAACAAGGAGCTGGCACAAGAAAAATAACAATGAAGAGATGTTCTCCTTACAAATCCATGCTGTGAACATCCTAATACATATTCTAAATAAATGAATTAGGCACAGTTTTCAAGTTAAGGCGTTTCACCCCACTTTAATTATATGTGTGATCTTGGTAAGGTTTGCTTACCAAAAATAGTATTTGAGAGGCAGGTCTTTCAAAGCTGATTCCTTCAAACCTCTATATTGCAGTTTCTCCTTCACTGTCCTTGACTTGTGCAACATATTTAGAAAAATATCTGAATATTTTACAACTCATGTTAGTTTTTTTTCTTTATACACCTTATATTTATCAAACCGCTAGTACCCCTAAGCAGAAGAGTAGTGTTTGCTATGCAAAACACACAGTCCATGATTGGCATCTAAGACCAATTGATCTACCCATTACCACTACGTCCCTACCCCCACAAGCTTTACTACAAAGCTATTGATTTAAACACTGCCGATCGGTTTCCATTTTCTGATTTTGGGCAGGCCAATTAAGAAAGTGAGTAATTGTGATTACACTGCTTCAGGATCAATTACATTTGATGCAAGATAAAGTGCTCCTCTTAGAACAATGTAAAGAAAATTCTTATGATCAGGAACACTTTATTGCTGAACATGCTTCTAGCAAAAATACAAAATAACTGACAACATCTTTCACAGAGATATGTAAATAGGAAATATGAGAATATAGACACCTTTGTGTGCACATTATTTCAACTACATTTTGACAAACTTCTAGATGTCATTCCTTCTTTTGGATAAAAGCTTTTTAAAAAGTGTAAGTTACAGAGCCTTCAGCTGAGTTCTTTGAGACATTGCTCCCAAAACACCACACTGCACAATTTCTGCAGTGATACTGAAGATCAGTAGGATTTTGAACAAAATACATTTTTAGTGTAAAATAGCAAATTTAACGCAAGTAACATTTTACCTATTTTTATACTATTTCCTAGGAACTAATGGCAAAGAAACAAGTCCCTATCAATTAGCAAAGGAACAAAGTAAGCAATTCCTATTCTTAATTTAATTTTAAACTTAGCTTGAGCGCTTTGTCATTGGACTCACATTGTCTAAATCATTAAAATGAATACACCACTGAGGTCTGAGGCAAATCTATTTACAGTGATGTTACTCATAGTCTGGTTGGTGTTCAGGAATATTGATCTGTCTTGTTTGTCTAATAGGAAAATAATAAACAATTACTAGGCAATGTTGGAGAAAGTAATCAGTTTTTATATATCACTAATACAGCAGACCTCCCAAAACATAAAGGTGATGATCTGCATAAAATCAATGTGTTATGCTACATTGCTTATCCTCATCACTGCTGAGATTCCTAGCAATAAATGGTGTAAGTTAAAAATCAAATCATTGGTAGACTGGAAACATATACTTGAAGGAAAAATATCTGCTTTATTTAAAAAAGAATGCTTCTGCTTGATAAACTGAGCATATACTATTTAAAAAACTCAAAATGTATTTAGATAAAGAGAGTCAAAGTCTATTGAAGCAATTGTAAAATTGCACAGACTACAAGGGAACCTCCTTTCCCAACAAACATCAGGCAATGGTTTAAAGCTGTTTCCAAATTCCAGCAAACAGCATACAGAACAGCTATAACAGTGTGATGTGCTTAAACTACATGCTGCAGACATTTTGCTGGGAGTACGAATATGTGTAAACCGACTGTGCAAGAGCATTCACTGAACAGGGAAAAGTTTGAGAAATGGAAAGAAAGAAATCCAATAGTAAAACCTCTTTGCCCCTGGAACAAGAAATGTTATTTTAGCAGTAGTACTTTAGGAGTCACTTGGGTACATCTCTATTGTTAGGATTTTCATGCTATCTTCAATAACCTGTCAGTTGAACAAGCTGTGCTTACTAGCAGTACACTAAAATTGCTACAGAAGTTTTCTAAAGGAAGAAGGATAGAACTTTCACAAAGGGATTACCTTAAACTAAATTGCAGCAATGTGAATGTCTATTCAATATCCCTCTTTTTCTGCTGAATATTGAAAGCTGAGCTTATGTATGTATATCTATAAAATATAGAATTGTGCAGATCTGTGTAGTACCTTTGCACAGTTTAAAACACCACATCAACCTGAAAAGCTCCTAAAAAAGGTGTGAGTTTTCTCCCATCCTTTCTTTCCCAATGCTGGGACATTGCTACTGTAAATTACCTGGGTTTCAAACACTAGTTTGTACCAGAATTCTCAGTGTGTGAATGGATTCCCCACTAACCTAGGACGTAGAAAGAAGACCTTGCATGCTCCAATAACCACACAAAAAATGTAGATCAGGCATTTTAGACAATATTTAGCAGGCCAGCCTGTTACTTGATTTCATTCTCACTATTGATTTAAAAGAATCTACAGCATGAGGAACAAAGTTCTTTGGCAGGCAAATTTTGGGGTTGTTTTCAGGCAGTCACATTACAATGACCACAAGCAGCCATAATAAAGACTTAGGGTAGTAAAACTGCTCAGACTATGTGCCATTTTGACTTGCTGCTTCTTACAAGAAGAACACACATGAAACAGTACAGCAGAATAGTCAGACATGACTTCTCCTTTCAAGACAGTGTTAACAAGAAAAATCCCAAGAAGAGTGAGACAAAAAAGTAAAGCTTCTGAAAGCAAAACTGAACACTAATAATGTGCTATTTCTCTTAAAACATCTTGGATATATATAATGTTGTAAATTTTGTTTAATTCTTTGAATATTTAATAAAATAGTGACTCTGATACCACTAAATAGACTTCCAGTGAACACTACTTTTACCTTCCAGAAGCAAAAATTTACCTTCCACCTCCCAAGAACTTACCATAACTGGAAACTGGCTGTCTGGGTAGAATCACAGAAGTCAATACCCATAGTAGCAGTAATGGATCCTCCAGCCTCAAGGCACTCTGCATGAAGAGATTTTTAACAGGTGAAGTACCCATGCAAGACCAACAGAAGATGTCAGATGTAACCCCCTCAAACTTCACATAATGAAAACCCCCAAAAAGCACCGTAAGAAAAAATCCAATAGTTGTAGTTTTATTACAAGTAGGTATCACTGAAATGTCACACTTGCATGTTTAAGCATCCTGGATTCCACCTCCCACGCAGTTAATGCACATGAAATGTTGCCATTTCAGTCTTAGAGCCCCATGAACAAAATAATACCTTGGATTAGAAAAGCAAGGAAAGGAAAATTATTTACAGAAAAATAATTATATATTGAAGTGATATTCTTCTAGTTGTCCACAGATCCAGCACTGAGATTTCAGTTTTAGTAACACTGGTTTGCAGGTTTAGTTAGTAAATAGCAAAACACAAGAAATTAAATCTATATTAACACACACCATAATGGAAAATAAGCTGAACTATAACTACTACTTAATTACTGTGGTTTACTTGTATCTCAACATTCCACTTGCATTAGTTGGAAGTTGGAAGGGTGAAGAAAAATTATGAACACTTAATGGAGGATCACTTTGTGCTATACAAGCAGTGCAGACTGAGACACTCTTGGCAGTGAAGATATCAAGAGACATCCTTATTCTTAGATTCTTGGCTAAATCACTGCACTGTTTCCCTAATGTTGTAGAGATAAAGCTTTCATTAAAGGCTTTTCCTTGTAAGCTCTTTCTTTACATAAGTAAAAGCAAGCATTGACTTTGCCTTCTCAAGATTACAACAAAAAGCTGAAAGCACGCTTAAAAGAGAGGAATTAAAATAAAAAGGATTAGGTAAGCAGAAAAATGTCTGATTTCCAGATTACCCACAATGTATCTAATGCTTTTCAGGAACTGAAAGCAGAAAGCTGCTCCATGACAAAATGTAATAAAATATAACTATTTCAAGATTAAATTTGTAAAAATACAGAAAACATGGAGTTAATGCTGGTGGCTAAAGTCTAAATTTACACTAGGAAGTGATAGAAAACAAAGTATTCCAAGGAGTCTGTTTAAAGCATTGAAAGATGACAGGCTCCAGATCAAATTCAGATCAAAAGAATTAACTTTACCAAAGCCTTTGAGCTTAATGTTTTCAAAGGGAGTTTCAAACACACTTAGGAACAAGAAAACGTTGTGCACAGGGACTTGGGTGAAATAATTTGAACCATTTCTACTGGAAGAATCAGGACAATTGACAACAGTAACTTCAGTGACTAAGGCAAAACTAGACTTATAATCCAGCAGGAATACCTGTCTACACTGACTCTTCTTCTATTGGGTCGGCTAGGTAAATTACAGGATATGTTTTCCAAACACTGGAAACACAACATGTAGTAAGAACAGGGTTTATAGATTTAGTTCTACATAAAATGACAAAGAATACAGAAAATTTGCATTCAGCCAAGAAAAATAACATTTTTGGAAGAACTACAGATGATGGATAGCTTATTTTCTGCAAAAGAAACCAACAGCTCTGCAGGACAGATACCACAATATCTTTCTTAGAGAAACGAATACTTTAAAGAGTAGAACTGAGGTGGAGCTCAAGGAACTTGAAGTGGGTAATTTATTAATTCCACTTTTTCCCCCCATGTTTTTATGTGAGACAAGTGAATGCTACTGTTAATTGACTGTTATTGTGGGTACAGTATCTCCTGATCTGATTTATAGCATTACTAGATTTCTACTTGTTAGCCTTTGTGCTTTATTTCTTCAAATGTTTAGAGGTAGGGATATAAAATAAAGCTCATCGGCAAAACTTACTTGACGTCTCAATTCTGAGCTGGACTTGGTTTGAGGAATTAGCAGCAAAATGTTCACTTAAAAAATAAAAACTTATGGAGTTCTAAAAGTGACTGTCTTGATCAAGTATGTATCATTACAAAGATGCAAATGTTGTTATTATTAATTTTAACTCTGAAATAAATTATAGCACTGAGCAATTGAATTTGCAATTTACACCAGCTATTTGGTGTAAATCTGTATAATCTTTTCTATGTTAAAAAAAAAAAAGTAGTTCAATAGTTTAGAGCTATTTAACACAAACATCTTAACAACTGAAAGCAAAGAATACTCTTTAGTTCACTGTTGTGCTTTAGGAACATGTTCCTGTGTTCTTCTATCATGATACAAATTCACATAATGATGTAGCTTGTTGAAGGAGAAGAATTTGTACTATGAAACAGAGACAACTCTGTTCCTTCTGACTAGTCCACAATGTCCTAAAGTAAAGAACTACTGAGAAAACAGGTTGCGTACATAGGTATTACTCCTGAAAAAAACTTGCTGTGATTTGTGCTCTTTCTCAAGTTTTATACTCTTTTCCACAGACAGAAATGTAGCAAAAAACTATCCTGATTAGAAAGTAAAACAATTTAGTCTAAGCAGACACACTTTGTGGAACTATGGCATGTACAAGCTAAACTAAACATACATTTCCACTCTACTCTCATAAGCTCATAAGGAAAAAATGACAATGCTCTCAGGCATCAATATAAATAATACATTTACAGATTGATTTCAAGCTCTGTAAGAAAATAATTATGAATATAAAATCAAAACCTCATTTTTAATAGAAGCCCATAATAGCCAGTCTAAAATAAGACTGTAAGAGAATCAAAGTTTGCAGGGACGCAGAAAGATTTTGTCCTAACAAGCAGATAGTTGATGAGTGTGTGCATGTGTGTATATCCACACCCCATGCCACACACACATACATGAGTATACATGTAACTATGCAAAACCACTTTCCTGTATTGGAAATTTTGATGAAGAGTCTGTTTTTTTAACATAAGATATGGTTACCTATTGCATTAAACTCATGCATCCTCATGCCTGGAGGTAATTTCTTCTCCCCAATGTGAATATTCTCTATCTTCTGATCAGTTGTGTTTGTTACTGTCACTTGCACAGGTACCATACGATCACCAAAAACGCCTGGCTGTCTTGAGAAGTGATAATGAGCTGCTAATCCTTTCCCACTCATTCGATGAAGCAGCTCATGTGTTTTTGTTGGCACAGAGACTTGCATAGTGACCTGTTAGATATAACACAGTAGTTAGGAAATGCTGTAAGTCACGAACAGTAAAAATGACAACTGAATATTGCATTTTTCACGCAGTTAGAGCACCTGCTTTTGAGTTGGAATTTTAGTGAACCAGAAACATGTAAGGACATATTCAAATGCATAAGCAAATTGCAGTAATAGATACCAGATAACAGAGTCTAAAAACATTTTTGGTGCTGAAAATATCTTTGTCATATCCATCTCACTTTCCACTATAAAACTGTTTTCAATTATTTAGCTTTACAGTTAAGAATGACATCATCACATTTTTTTAAGAGTTACAGTTAAATAGTTGTTTTTTTCCAAGAAACATTCTATGCATCAGAATTCAAGGGTATTCCCAACCTCACTGTGGAAAGTGAAAGTATAGTGAGAGATTGTCTTCTGTTTCTCTTGTTAAAACCACAAAAATTGTTGTCTAGTAATTACACTGGTGAAATAGTAAAAACTTAGTTATACAGAGCAGAAGGGTGCTGACACTTTTTAAACAGTCTTGCTGCTAGAAGCAACAAGAAAAATCCCAAGGATATTTCAGTCCATTCTATCCTGCAGAAATAGCATGATAAAAAAGACATTCAGTGTGCATTCCAAGATACTACTGACAAGGAAATCATGAGCACAAAAGTACAAAAGTAAGGCATACACAGAAATAAGCAGACAAGTGAATTTGAATTCTTTACACATGTTTTAAGGAAAGATCAGGGACACTTCAAACTGTATTTATTAAAAAATGAGCTGTGACATCACACAGACAGCTAACACAAAATGAATGGAAAAGGTATAATTTGTATAAGCCTTCATAGTAACTGAAAATTCAAAACAACTTTGAAAAGAAGTCACAAACTTTCACAGACTAATAGTCTGCTTAGTTGTCTAGAAATAACAAACAAGGTCAAACTCTTAACCCCTCAGCTGTCAAGAAATAATAAAGGAAATACTTTGAATAATGAATATCTGATTGGTACACAGACAGAGACAATAACAGTAAGAGGTTATTAGCAGTCAAATTAGCATGTTATTTAAACCATTACTCAAATAATGAACAAAAGTCAAGTTTAAGATGGAATTTGAATCTGAAGTTTAAGCTTAGCCTCTAACTTTTAACATTCAATTCAATTTAAGAAGGATATGCATAAGAGAAAAGTTATTTCATGAAATGATTCTCCCATTTTCATTAATAAGTTTAGGATATATGTTTAACCCATGCTAACACAAGTATTTTGAAGTACACTAGCTTCTTTGTGCTAACTTATGGTTGGTTTTTTTAATAGTATTTATTAATAAGAATGAAAACACAAAAAGTTGTCAGATGTCCATCATGTAGATATACAGAATCACAGAACCACTGAGGTTGGAAAAGATCTCTGTGTCCAACTGTTTACCCAGCCCTGCCATCTTCAGCAAACCATGTTCCTAGATGTCACACCTACATGCTTTCTGCAGATTCCCATGAATGATGATTCCACCACTTCCCTGGCCAGCCCATTCCAATGCCTGATATCCTTTCAGTGAGGAAATGTTTCCTAATACCCAACCTAAACCTCCCCTGGCACAACAGGAGGCCATTTCTATTATTTACCTGGGAGAAGAGGCCAACCCCCACCTTGCTATACCCTCAGCTGTACAGAGTGATAAGGTCCCTCCTAAGCTTCCTTTTCTCCAGGATAAAATCCCCAGCTCCCTCAGCTGTTCCTCACCAGACTTGTGCTCCAGACCTGTCCCCAGCTCCTCTTCTGTGAACTTGCTCTAGCACCAGAATGACTTTCTTGTAGTGAAGAGCCCAAACCTGAGCACAGCACTCGAGGTGTGGCCTCACCAGTGCCCAGGACAGGGGGACAATCCCTGCCCTGCTCCTGCTGGCCACACCATTGCTGAGCCAGGCCAGGATGCCATTGGCCTTCTTGGCCACCTGGGCACAGCCTGGCTGATGTTCAGCTGCTGCCACCAGCACCCCCAGGTCCTTTCCAGCCACTCTGCCCCAGCCTGTGGCACTGCCTGGGGTTGTTGTGACCCAAGGGCAGGACCCAGCTCTGGGCCTTGCTGAACCTCACATCATGGGCCTCAGCTTTTTGGACCTCTGTCTTTTACAAAGCTGTGTTTGCTCGGCCAGATGCCCTGGTTGTCTTGCATGTGCTGCATGATGGCACCCAGGATGAGCTGCTCCAAAATGCATACAACACAGAGAAAAAAAATCTCACTATACTTAAATTGTAACACTGATTCAAGTTTTACTGAATCCTCTCTGATTTTTTAGAGATCTTAATCTGTGTCTATGCCCCCTTTAGAATTACTTCTTGTTTCAGTAATAAAAAGCTTGTGAGCCCATTCACTTTTATTTTCAACATCATACTATACACAGCAGCAAAAACGCAAAGGACAATCAGAATAATGACATTATGTTTAAGTCATCTTTCTTTGTACAGAACATTAATTTTCACTCGCATTTAATGTGGCAGTACTAGAAATAAACAAAACATATATATGTTGAACAAAACAATTTAATTCTGGAAAATTAGAATTTTCAAAGCCTCTACCTGCTACCTAGGATTTTGAGCTGACAAAGGCTGATGTGACTGTAATGTGATGTATTTAACAGCTGCATCAGTCTGGTAAACAATTTATTGTTTTAATTCTAAAATTTTTAATGCATTTGCGATAAAACCCATGGGGCAGGTACCTGCAATCATTCTGGGGTTAAAATAAAACCACACAGAGTTAAGAGAACAAGAAGCATCTACTAACCAGGAGATAATCTCCTACAAATCTTACACAGCATATGTTTAAATAATAGAAGTCGTTTGTGTACCTTTGGATGGTTTATGAAAATAACCAATCAATTCTGCAGACACAACATTATTTCTAAAGGAAATCTATGTGACTCATGATGCCTGCAGATACACAGAGACAAACCACACATATTTTATCAGTTTATTACAGTAAGCAAATAAGCGTGGAATGAGAGTGCACATAACTGTCTACTTAACGCTTACTGAAACATTTATAAGAGCTGTTATCTCCCTAATAACAGACAGACAGTGTGCAATTTTAGAGAGGAGAAAAGCTTCATATTTTTTAACACTTCACTAAAAAGTAACTGAAGAGTGTAAAATGAAAAATACTCTGTGCAGTTAGCTGGTAATGGACCATATTATCAACTCAAGTTAGATTTATAGGATACAAACTAGTCACTAATAGTTATTTTATGACAGAGCGTGTCTGCTTTTTTGGGTTTAGATTATTAAGATTAAACTTGCAAAACTTTTTTTCTACAGCTGTTTAGAAAGACAATAAAAAAAATTAAAATATTGACTGCCCTCCCACCCCATTTTGACTGAAAGCAACCACATGTAGGAACACCACAGTGATACCATATGGTTACACTATATTGGTACCAGTCAGACTAGCCAACAGGCTGACTGCACATGTTGAAAGATAATTCATCACCCTAAAAGAACTGAAAGTATTTTTAAACTAGCTTTTGTATAAGACCAAGAGCAACATTAGGATTTTGCCACCCCCCACCACCCCATCATGGGGAAAAAATGGGAAAAGTGTAAGATCACTGATAATAGTAGTTGTGGCTTGCTTTATCACAACTGAGATGACTAGTTGCAAACCAGAATCTTCCCAATATGAACATGTGAGCTTTTTGCCAGCTCAGTAAGTCTTTATTAATTAAGCTTACATTGATAGAAAAAACTATTTTCCATAATTATTTAAAGTAAAAAGCACTACATGGTTTATTAAACCTACTACAGAAAAGAGACGCAGACATACATTCCTGTCTGAAGCACCACAGAGTCAAAAATAATCAGAATGGTCTGAGAGGGACCTTAAAGAAGCATTGTTACTATTAGTACTATTTTTACTACAGACACAAAATTCTGCTTGTTTTCTTTTGTATTCGTTCCTTAGTTTAAAAATCCTGCAATAATGAACATAGACTAATTCTTGATCCTAGTTCGTAAGTGTACATATGTTTGGATAAAACATGCATTATTGAAAAAAAAAGTTTGCTTCTAAGGATAATGAAAATTATAATTCTATTCCTCTAATTTAAATTCTGTTAAAGCAGTGGACTACATCATTTAATCTAAGTAATCCTCCTACTGGCAATATCCATGACATAATCCAAGAATTACCTACTGAGCTGTGAGAGCTATAATCTCTCTCTCACTCATGGTGATGCTATGCTCCAGTAACTCTGCAACAGCTAAGAAGAGAAGGACTATCACACAGCCCAGCCACATTTACATGATCTTTCAACTGAAGCCATGAGAGCACTTAACTATAATTTTTTAATATTAGTATAAAAATGGAAAAACAGAAAAACAAACGTCAACTATTGGCAGGAAACATGACCTTTTGCGCAATTAACAGTTATATATTACTCACAGTCACAAGGCAATGTCTCCCTTATACAGCTCTTACAAAAAAAATTATTAATTCATAAAAAGATAAAGTGCAAGCAAAGAATGTCAGCATCCTAGTCTGCATTATTTCAAGAGGCTGTTGGAAATCTCAGCATTATAGCATACCTAAGTCACAATAATAAGGACTGTCAAAGTAATAAAAGAATTCCCCTTACAGGGAGCAAGGAAACCAAACAAGCAAGGAGGCTAGCTCCTATTTTGTACAATCTAAGAAAAGCAACTGGATACTGCTATTTAATTTGGGCTAATTTATCTAGACATCAGACACCCAAGGACATATGTTGAAGTCTGAAGACATTTTCCACCAAAAGCGCATTTAAGTGCTCTATATATACTAAATACTTTCTAAAAGCGATGTCTGCTAGGGACACCTTCAATTTCTAATACATCCTAACTCCCTTCTTTTCATTGTCACCAACTTTTAGGGTCCACACTTCCCTTAATTATTAACGTCAATGAGGCTAATTGAAAATTACCATATTAATGATCACTATCTTCAAACTGTTAGTGGTATCAGACAATTTCAGACATTA